CATGTTTTCTGCATCTACAATGTCTGTCATGGACGGATCGAGGTGTCTTTGGCACACATCAACACATCGCCAACTGTACCGGGTATTTCGCGCAGGCCTATCCACAAATCGCGCCCACCGACACGCGCAGAGCAGACCCTTCGAGACGACAATCGTGAACAGACAAGCAAAAAGCCTACCTCATCGCGGGCCGGTGTCTATTGACGCTTGCTGCGCTTCTGGACGAGTTTGGAGACGACCGCGATGAAGATGACCAGAAACGTGAGAGCCCCGTAGGTGACCAGCATGGCCAGGCCGACGTGCATGCCGATGTTGAACGGCGCCTCTTCATACAGAATGTACTGTTTGGGGTTCTTCCTGGCCTCTTCCAGAGTCACGGCCCAGGCGGAGGGCAGCAGAAGCAGGAGGCCGAGCATGGCGGCAGTGGCGGCGGCGGCGGCGGTGACGAAGCGCGGCGACCGAGGCGTCATCGTGAGACGATCGAAAGCGGCCGAGGCGGCAAGGCGTGCGAGCAGCAGACGAGGGCAATTTGTGAGGCAGATCGGAGCGTGAAAAAACCACCGCCTCTGACGGCTCTGTGCTCCGGTGGGCCTGGCGGTCTGTCTGCCTACTTGCGAGTCTCTCGGTGTCGCGTGTCTGTCTGCCCGTCGGCGCGCTCAAGACGAGCTGCACCGTGCAGCACACCAACACTCTGGGCGGAAGCGCTACAAATGCGTGAAATAAGCCGGGGCCAGACTACGAGACTGGTGGATAGAAGGAAAGCATAGCTGGCCAGCCAATCGAAAAGGCCAGCCAGCTTAACAAATCAGAATAAGCCATCTTGGCCAATCACAGCGGGCCAACTCAAGGTCGACCAAATTAACTCAACTCTCTTATCTGCGCATTGCTTCAGTTGTTCTTCCGTTCGATCATTGTCCTCGCCTATTCCTGCTCTGGCCTGCTCGCCAGGCCGCTTTATTCAAAGCAGCCACAGCGTCGGCCTTATTGTGCACTGGCATTTATCGTACCACGTCCAAGTTACATGCATAATTGGCTCTGACAAGTAGGAACAACAGCCTGTGTCACGACTCTGCCCACTCCTCTTCTACTTAATTTGCACATCCATTCGATGTCTTCTGCACAGAACAGCCACGCCGACGTGAAGTCGTTACGCCCGAGTGGACGGTCTGGCCGACCTTGAATACGGTGAATGGACCCAGCGAGTGCTTTGTGTGGTTGACCGGCATGCCTTGTTGTGTGGACAAGCGTGCCCGATTTGCTGGGTCCCCGAGGGAGGCCTGCAAGTCGTCCTGGCGGAGACAGAAGCATATCTGGTTTTGTTATGGCACGTTTATGAAGAGCCTACTTTTCCCAGACTACTCGTGATAACGGTCAAGGATAGACGAAAATGGCTGAAGGCACTGGGAATGTTGGCATCAATGCGAGGCTGCGTCTGGTGTGTGGGTG